TAGAAAAGCACTCACTTTTCACATGACTTGTTCGCTCAGGGCGATTTCACAATGGCGAGCTTGCTCAGGGGGCAATGGGCGTAATGCCTTCATTAGGAGGAGTTCCGAGTAACCTGTGAGACGGGCAACAGCCAATCAGAGGCCAGGAAAAAAAATGCATCCCGTCTCGTGCGCATGGTCAAGGGATATAATAACTAAGGGTGGTCGTCGACCCGAATTTCAAGATATTTTTATTCGAAATGCCAGATCCAAGGTCCAGGTAGCTTGTTGTCAATTCCAAGGTGTTTGTATTCCACCGGGTGAGAGATTGGAAACCGCCGGATACCATCCGGACATGGATGCTGCGGGATGCGCATCACGACGCGGACATGGAGATGCGAGATGCAGCGCGAGATGAGCGATCAACGGTTGACTTGCGAGCGATAGACCGACGTACCGGTGCGCATGTACTAAGAAGGATAATCGGTCGATTAGTAGGTCGAGGCTAATCTACTTGGCGTTGCGCTTGGCGTAGGGTGATATGATAAAAGCGTGCTGGAAACGGCCTCGCTTCCGCACACGAGTTCGATGCGATATCCCTGGATATCCCTGAAACCTTTTGAACAGCAGACACTTGTCACTTTGATTAAGCTCGTGTCAAAATCTTGGCGCTGGGGTCGAGTGGGCGAGTACTCAAATCGATATCCGCAGAAGCTCACTCTGGGACCATCGGTTTTGGCAATTCGATCCAACATTTATCCCAAACTACTTATCATAGCGCTACGCGTCGTAGCTTGTTCGATGCGCAATGATCTTGCACATCGTAGCGCACTATCGGCGCTGGGCAGTGACCTTTTCTACAGGAGATATACCCTTGGACCCGGGCGCTCGTTGTCCGTGCGGCCGTCCATCATTTTATTCAAAAGTCATTATTCTCTAAAAAATGAGCCAAATATTTTTATTTGAAAAACCTCCGACAAGGTATGGAAAAGGTAAGCTTACCATGGAAATGAGCTATCATTTAAAAAACCCGTCGATGACCACCCTTTGTTATTATATCCCTTGGCATGGTTGTCGGCCGACCTCCAGGACGTCAGCTCGCACCAATTCATCCCGTCTCGTGATTACGCGATTTGATTGGGCAAATCGTTGGATGGAGACACGGAGCAAAAGTCGCCTTTGCAGTTGACATTTTCGATAGCAATGGCCACAAAACTCGAGCAAC